CAGTGCTTCAATTAGCAAATATTAAGCTAAAGCTGATAACTGCTGCTTTTATTTAAGGTCTGTAGAAGAGTCTGTGAACCTAAAAACTCAACTTATTTTTAACAAAATTATATCTTTAATACTGAACTACAGTGTTAAAGATAAACCATTTTTTACACAGTCCCATCTTCATCCTTAAGCCATCACAGCTACATAAAACTTCTCTTTTGTGAATAACCCTTGCTAAAACCACAACTACTGCAGGCTGACAGTCAGAAAACCACATGACAAGAGTCAGAAAGGGGAGGCAGAGAGAGTATATTAGCATGGTTAAAAAAGAAAAATACCCACTTCAGAAATACTGTTACTTTTCCAATTCCTACCTTCAGTTGATCCCTTCACAGAGGGCTTACTCCAGCTATCTCTGGAATAGCTAACACAAACCAGAATTAGGTCCATCTAAAGAAATGCAGAAGAATTCAATATCCATTTTTACATGTTCAGGTCTTCAAGTTCTTGAAAGCTATTCCCACTGTAATAAGGAAACTACAACATTTATTCCCACATTACCAGTAGGAAATACATGCAAAAATGTTGACATTCAAATCTGTACTCAAGTCACACCCTCTTTGAAATTCCAGCCTTTTTCATGCAGTGCTAGAGCCGTAAGCAAATACTGGCCTGCTGCCAATGTTCACAAACATTGGAGAGATGACATAAGGTTGCTTAAAAAATAAAACACAAGTTTTTCCAAAACTGTTAATGGCATCAGCCACCACTTGATGACAGCTAATGTCAAAACAGTTCTAAAAGGTTTTTAAGATTCTCATTTCTTCCCTACTTTTAAGGGCTCTTACATTCTCCTATAAGCCTATATGTAAGGAAGCTTCATTCTGCAAGAGACTTGTTATTTTGTTTATTGAGGCAGAATACTCTCAAATAAAAACTGACAAAGTTTCAGTAGAAATGTAACATTTTAACTATTATGACTAATAAGTTAAACCCTACAGTTACATACATAGCACTGCATCCTGTGATGCTTGAGCAAGACCTCTAACCTTCCCAGCAAAAAAGGACACACAATAAGGAAGCAGCAAGAACAAATGAATTAAGGATTACTAAATTTGCTATTTATTCTTTGAAATAAGTTGACTATTGAAAGTTGACTATTGAAAGCCCAAACCATTCAGTATGGTAAGTATTCAAATGTATTCTCTAGGAACCTCTCTTCAAACCAGGAAGAGGGAAGAAAACAAAGAAAAGGAGTGAGGGAAATTTCCTGACTTCATACAGCAAGCTGCTGGCAGAACTCAGAACTGAACTCCAGCCATGGGAGTCCCAGAATTGAGTTTCTTGTTTAGTGAATCATGTTGTGCCTTGGACAATCTTGTTGCCTTATCTTTGAACCCTCTCAGCATTTTTGGAATCTTTCCAGAATTGAACTATCCAGCTGTATGCACATACCAAGGGAAATCACTGGTATTGCTGAGGGTGTTTTGCTTGTTTTTCTTATTATGAAATTGATTGACCTGATAGAAACAATCGCTGTAGTGCACATAGCACCTGTGTGGCACTTACAGGCTCTTCCACTTGACATAGGATTTCTGCAACCAGGATCATGCGACCAAGCCAACACTTCAGATTCTCATCACATAACGCCAGTGTGGATCATTTAATTAATCCATAAAAGTCAAAATTTATGTTGATGTCATAGAACTTCCACAACATATTCCATAAAGGTATGAATTTCTCAATTATGAATGCTCAAGCTGAAAACTACAGCACAAAAAATGAAGGGGGTGGGTGGGGAGAACGGAACACAAAACAAACAAACCAACCTCTTGAACTTGCACTCCTCTAGCAATTGTCAAAACAAGTCCCACTCTCCCCCACTGATGTAAGCAGAGCAGCAACTTGCTTTTTGTTTTCTATTCCAGTTGTCTTATGCAAACTAATAAAATATATATGCATATTTTCATCTGCAGCAAGCATAATTCAACACTGCATTAGCACTCCAGCATGTAGTAGTACAAACATATACGCAATCTCATAATCACAGCTTATTTCTTTTTGGCTTTAATCTTTGGTGTCAGATGCTACTTTATCCCCAAACTGGTACACAAATCTTCCGAAACGCCTAGAATAAGGAGCTTATGCTTTAGAAGAGGACCCAAAATTGCTTCAGCTACAACTTCTGCAGTCTTTAAACATGACATGGACTATCGTGTTAGTTTTTAAAGCTGAATTTCTAACTACTGTCATGTTTTACCTTCCCCTGTGAGTTCAAGCATACTAAAGTTATATCAAGTTATATTTTTTTCAAGAGTAGAAATACAGTTAAGCTCTTCAGAAGTGTTGTGCTTAGCGGACCACATTTGTATCTTATTTTGCATCTGAATTACTGATTACAGATTAAAAAAAAAAAAATCAAATTGCATGTTTCTTTGTGTTCTTGTATTGGTTTGACCAAAACATTAGATTCTGTATAAATCAGGAATTCTAATTTTGAAATTTTAGATTTACTTCATGAATGATGTTTATTTCCCATGGGGAAAGCATTTTCTTCTGGTGCTATTCAGGGTTCGTAGTACAAGCTGTACAAGGACAGGAAAAAATAAACTACTGAATCACATTTCTTTTGTCAGAAAACACAAGCTTCCAGGTAACCTACCTACGCCCCCTGTGTACTTAGATTCCCTTTCATGATACTGGGGTTTGTTTTGACCTGATGAAACATCTGACTCCAGTTCTAAATCCCCTGACTTCGTAGCTCTTAAAGACAGTTTTAGAGAAAAGTACAAAAAAAAAAAAAAAAAAAAGGACGGGGGGAGAGAGGCACAGGGGGAAGAACAGTCAGAAGGCGTGAGAGAAGTGTTTCATATAAAAGACATGATTAGACACTTTATATAAAAGACACTTCTTATTCTCAATATGAAGTTCCTAGATTACTGAAGAAGTATTCTATACACAAGTTAGTAAGCATCTGACAGAGACAAAATAGCAGAATTTGGTCAAAAGACCTTCACAGAAATATATATATATATTAATTTAAACCAGCCATTCAATTTGGATAGCTTATTTCCACAAATCTTCTGCAATGTGAAGTTAATTCTTCTGACAGTTAACTCTTGTTTACAGAAATTAAGTATCTTGTTTACTTTTCCCTTCTACAGCTCGATTCCTTTTCTCAAGGAGTAACTGCTTCAGGCACCTACCAAATCAGGCTTCAGATCCCAGAGCTGGTTAGAAAATTCTTCAGGGTAAACTATAAGATAAAGCTTCTTTTTTTTTTTTTTTTTTTAAATCCTTCTTTGAAAGGTCAAATAACAAACAGAAATATGGAACCTGAACCCTCCAACTACACAATTGCCAACATTTGCACCTCTACCTCAATGAAGTGAATGCTATACAATATATTTCATCTTGATCTATAAATCCTTAATTTTATTGTTACATTAGGTACAAGTATGTTTATTATGCATCCCATTTTAAGTCTGTTCTTCAGTCCAGACCTTCAGTTCACAAGGATCAGCTAATTTCCCAAGTTTTCTCCCTCAAACTTGAAAACAGCACTAACACTCAAAGCAAAATATCACCAGAATCTGCAAGTCAGGGAAACAAATACAAGATTCCCATCCTGCAAATGTCTAATTCACATGTAAAATCCTTGTACAATCACAGCTAATTTACAATTATTGAAATACAACAACCACAAAAGCAACTGGTAGCTTTTATTTGCAGTATTCTGAAATCTTTGGCAGGACAGGCATGCACAAGATCCTTAGAATCTTCAAAGAACTCTACTGTGGATCATAAAAGATCCTATGAACGAAGCACAGTGTTTATTAATAAAGACTCCAAGTATTCCAAAAGAGAATTTCAAAGTACTCCAGCACTATACATATAAATCCACATTTAAGTCACACCTGTCTCAAGACAGCTGACACGCCATAACTCACAAAACACAGGGCACATGTGCAGTGATGTGGAACTCATGGGAACACACACACAATTTCACAACAGAGACAGAAGACTGTTTCTGAGATCAACTATAAACTGCTGGGTGATTCCTAAAGAAAGAAAGGGAAATATATTAAAAAAAAGTCCACGCACAAGTAAGAACTGCTCTTTGAAAGTATTACTTTGCACATACAACTGGCCTTAAGGGAAATTTAAAGCATTATTTATGCTCTCCTGGTGCTTTTTGCACCTTTCAAGGAGCACAACTTTGTAGTAATACCTTTAATATTTCAATTCAGCATTTGTATTTCATATGGAATAACATCACAGTGATTCTTTAGCTGATTTGAATCCTAGTTTTCTCCCTATGACAATACAATTTTAATACAACTGAAGTTAACACACACACACAAACGAGTTCTGAATTAAAAACCAAGCCACAATACCCTTCAGTCATTGGTTTCCCAGTGAAGCAAGGTGCATGGCATTTCACTATAAATACTATTTGTAACCAATCACTTCAGCAGTCCATAAATACGAATTGTATCTCCCCTGTGAGCCTGCCAGCAGCCTTCCTTCTCTTCACTCAGAGTTCCAACGAAATGTCACCTTCATCCATTTTGGCATACAGTTGAGGAATGACACCATTCCCCCACTGTGCTTTTAAGTTACCTTTAAGTGTTTTAACTATGCAATTCTTGGCAGAAATTGTTAGCGTCAAGTTTGTTAAAGAGGAAGCAGAAGAAACAAACGCCTTTCATCTACTGCTATTCGCTTATACCTTGAGCATCATGCAAGAGAGATTACAACACCACGGCGTTGTTTTTAAGTTACCCGAAGTAAAATATTGCTACCAACAAGCCTGCAGCGCGGGGCCTACCAGCCTTAGGCAACACACTTTTAAAACCATCTAGTCTGAGCACAGCCTTTAACACGATCCCGTGGCAGGTGCCAGCGCGGAGGCCGCTCGGTGAGCACTGCGAGCCCTCCGGACGGGCTCCTCACCCTTCCCGCCGGCCAGGCGAGGCACGAGGCAGCGCCGGCCGGGGAGCGAGCCTCACCTTGGTGAGCTGGGCGATCTTCTTGCTCATTTTGAAATGCAGCTCGGGGCTGTGCTCGGCTCCCGCTCCGGGGGCAGGGCCGGCGCCGAATTTCCCGGCGGCGGCGGCAGCGGGCGCGGAGCCGCCGCCGTAGCCGTGCTGCTGCTGCCAGCTCATCCCCGGGGTCGCCATCTTCAGCAGCCGGCCCCCAACCGGGCTCCGGTGGCTCCCCGGCCGCGGCCCGCAGCCCCGGGAGGCTCCTCCCGGCCCGGGGCCGACCTCGGGGGCGCTCCGTGCCGCCGCCGGGCCGTGAGGGGAGGCGGGCGCGGCGCGGTGAGGCGCTGCGAGCCGTTAGCCCCGCAACCGCCGCCGCCGCCCGGCCGTTGGCGCCGCGCGGCCCCTCCCGCAGCCCGACAGCGCCGGGCGGAGCGGCAGCCGCCGTGCGCGCTCCCGGCGGGAGGGCGGCCACGGGCACGGGCACGGGCGCGCGCGCGCGCGGCTGGTCTCCCCTCAGCCCCGGCCGTTAGTCGGCCGTTAGTCACCGTTAGCCGTTAGTGACCGTTAGGCTGAGGAAGGGGGCGCTGGGTGGCCCCCGGGCACCGCGGGGGAGCAAGTGCCATGTTGTCACCGCTGACAGCCACGGCATGGCCGAGGTTGGAAGGGGCATCGCCTAGTCCGACCCCCCTGCCGAGCAGGGCCGCCTGGAGCACGTTAAACATAAATAAATAAATAAAACATCTTAAAGCTGAGGTGAATTCGATAAGCAGGTGGCTGCGCGAGTACTTCAGGTTCTCACAGCCCCAGCTGGCCGTGCACCTCAGCTGCTCAGCCTCTTTTCCTGCAAACTGGTTATGGCCCCGTCATCTCACGGGATGACCCCGGAATGAAAGTCCCCGCCAGAAGGAATCCACAGCCAAATTTACCACATGTTTTAGCTTGGGTTTGGCTGCTCTCTTCTTCTGTTTCCATCCTGTGCACCTCTGGAGAACAGCCACCATCTTTAACAATTTAATGCCTATTTGGTAGGCTCCAGCCTTGGGAGAACATATATATATATATCTTAATGGGGTTGGACACGTTTGATTTCCTGATTAGCAGCCTCTGCACTGCTCTTTTAAAAGCCCTTGATATTCTCTGTTGGGTAGTTTATCTTTTTGCTGCCTTTCTATTTTTATGTTTTTCCCCTGCTCTAAAAACCTCCTCTTCGCATGGATTCTTTGTAGGCAGACAGAAATATCAAAGTAGTAAACTGTAAAAATATGAAGCCAAATCTTCCCTTCTCTACAAGAGTGTGGAGAAAAGTAGTGCTTAGAATTCAAAAATGACATAAATCAGTGGAAGGGTAAGGAATATAAGGAAATCCACATTACAGAGCGATGTGTCTCACTTGCTCATGGAGATCATTAAGGTTGGAAAAGACCTGCAAGATCATCTGGTCCCAACCACTATCACCCACTAAGCCATGTCCCTAAACACCATGTCCAACATTTCCTTAAACACCCCCAGGGACGGTGACTCCACCAGCTCCCTGGGAAACCCGTCCCAGTGCCCGACTGCTCTTCCTGAGCAGAAATGTCTCCTCATCTCCAACCTGAACCTCCCCTGGCACAACCTGAGGCCATTCCCTCTAGTTCTATCGCTAGTTATCTTTGAGAAGAGGCCAACCCCCAGCTCCCCACACCTTCCTTTCAGGTAGCTGTAGAGAGCAATAAGGTTTTCCCTGAGCCTCCTCTTCTCCAGACTAAACCCCAGCTCCCTGAGCCGCTCCTCATAGGACTTGTCTTCCAGGCCCTTCACCAGCTTTGTAGCCCTTCTCTGGACACACTTCAGGGCGTCAAACAACACAACGTGTATGGGCCCGTGCAAACCTGAGGTCATGGTGCAGATTCTTTGATGTATAGACAGGCCACTAACCAGAATGTACAATTAGATACTTTTGCAAAAGTTGCTGCTTTTGCATATGGAGTGTTTGTGAGTGTGCAATTGAAATACCTGCATTGAGGTCTGGGGTCTATAGCTTCCATGTGTCTATGCACTGGAAAGGTGTTCAAAAAAAGGGCCAGAAGAACTCCAGAGATTCTGGAAAAATAATCTTATATTGAAGGATTCATTAACCCCCACTATTTTGAAGAGTGAGGAGTCTAAAAAGTGATTTTATCTCAGTCTTTAAGTTGCTGTGTTGCCTTGAGCTCAGAATTTGTATTGTTTGGGAAATTCTGACACTGTTTTTTATTTATTTTATTTTTTTATTTTTATTTTTTCATTGTGAAGTGTCCAATTCTGGCAACAGAGAACAAAGGACAGATGGTGCCTACCCAGGCAATGATTCATACAGAAGGGCAAGAAAGAATAATAGGAGCATCTGTATCAAATCTCTGTCCATGTATGACATCCATGAATAGCACATACTGTTTATACAGTTTTATCAAATTAAAAATAATTCAGTGGCCAAGGAGGCTGTGGTTTCTCATTTGTAAGAAGGTCAAACTACTAATTAAAGCTGGAGACTGACTCTGAAGACTTGGTTTCAGCTAATTGTTTTGTCTGGGTGATTGTTTGACCTTAAGCAAGCTCCTTAATTCCTGTGCAAATGGACACTTTCTCTACTGTGCCTAATAATGCCTGAGATATTAAGCAACGGCTGGCTAAATTTATTAATGCTCTTGGAAATCTCCAATGTTACAGAAACTTTCAGCATTTTAATTTTGTCTACACATTTTGAATATTTTGGATAGAGTCGTTTTTCAAATAGCGTGGTTTGGATTTATCAAATTTTCTTCTGAGACAAGAAGCTTCATTTTTATTTTTCTATTTCTTCTGAGCACTATATACATTTGCTGTGATTCCTATTGGTCCCAAGTCATTGTTTTGAACCATTTTGAAGTGATTTATAGTTGCTAGGAGAAAACAGTCAAATAGGTTTGACAAAAAAATTGTCTGTCTCTTGTATTGAGTTGCTAAATATTAAATTTTGTTTAGGTGCTTTTAAATTCAGAAGGTGGTTAAATATGCTTTGTATTTATTTAGTGTGTCTTTTAGCAATATTTTTCATATTTAAAATGTTTTCAGGCACCTCTTTACCCATTTTATGCCTTTAGAGCTCAGATGTTGGCTGCTCAGAACCTCTTTTCCACTAAGGTCTGCACTGGTAGCACAGAGCCTGTTTTCTGAAACCTTAATGCTGAAAAGAGGCTTTGTGCAGCTAAACAGGCAGGACCCTAGGGCTTTTTTCCCTTGGTGGGTTTTCATGTCTGTCAATATATTGGGATCTGTGGGTCCAGAGGTCTTTTGGGGTTTGGGCTGACACCATGCAGAGGCAAATGGGGAGACAGCACTTGGGGTTTCCTGAAGGGTGGAGAACACAATGGAATGAGGCTGGGCTCTTTTAATGCATATCACTGCTGTGAAAGCTGTAAAGTGAAATCTGCGCTCTCTCTTCTACCAGGAGCTTGCGTGGGTGACATAGAGTTTGTATCTATCCCTTGTCTCTAAGTATATAGGTGCTGTGCAGGACTGGTCTTGGTATATGGATATAGAAGATTTTTTATTTTTTTTTTTAATTTGAAAATACATTTAGTAAAATTATGACTTAAGATGGCATTTTTATGCATCTGCCCTCTATACATATCAGCATACGTGCAAGACATACCGTAACTTTATAGTTTTGCTTTTCCGATGTAAAATCAACAACTCTGCCTACGTGAAAATCTACCTCTGTTGTTGTTGTTGTTTTGGTTTTGCATTTTCCTGCATAACTATTTATCTCCATCTGCCTGTTTGATGTTCATATGTTCCGGTATGTGTGTCTGTTTTCTAAAATTATGAAATAACATTACCAAGGCTTGCAAACTAGGAAAGAATTTCATTTACATTTAATCTGCTGGGAATGTTATGGATTACAATTTCCATGTGTAGAAAAAACTTTGTTTATCTCATCAGAGCTTTGGCTAAGATAAATATGTGCAATCACTGTATGCCTTAGTTTCAAGCCATAGGCACAAAACTCCCTCTCTGGTTCTTCATAGACAGAAAGTGTTACAAAGACTAAGCTTGCTTTGTGATAATGTCTTTTGACAACTCTGAAGATGTCAGAAAGTCAGCGGCTTTTACCGAAAGGACAGTTAACGAGGCATTTGTCCTAGTGGTGTTTGCAGGTTTCTGCTGTTTAGTTTGTAAGCTTGCAGCCACAACTCTGAAAAATGAGTTTTCTCTTTGTTGTTGTTGTTTGTTTTTGTTTTTTTTTTTTTGTTTGTTTGTTTTGGTTTGGTTTGGTTTGGTTTTGCAAATGTGTATGAATATAGGTGTTTTTATCACAATTCACAGTTTCATTTAATGGTTGAATTATGCAAGTATTTAGTAGATAAATACTTAAACATGGAGACTCCCTTTCTCTCAAAAAAAGTCTCTTTATTTCTACCTGAATGCTAAACCAACCATTTATTATACACACAGCTTAAATTTCTGTACAGGTTTAGCTATTTACATAAAATAATAATTCACCATTTAAGAGAATAGGCTAAAATACTCATGATAACAATAACAATATAGCTTAAACCTATCTGTCATTCCCGCTTTAATTTCCTGGCCCAAATAAACCTCGTGGAATACAATAACTGAATAAACCCACGATGTCCTACTTTAACATAAAGACCTCATTGTCAAGGCTGAGGTTAATCTACTGTGCTGAGATATATTATGCTGAGATATCTGTGTAAGAAATCATGCAAAACATTTTATTTTTGAAAGTCCACAGTTATCAAGGGACTCTTCTGTTAGCTGCATATGCTGGTACAAAGAGGGAGGGGTATATTTGCTTTCAGATCTATGAAGGGCAAAGAACAGTCCCAGTTGCCTTGCTATGGCTGCAAATATTATCATGAAGGATATGCAGGGGGGGAGGTGAAGATCCAAACAAAAATCAAAGCTAAATGTCCTAATACCTTTGTAATAACCTCATGAGCTTTTAATTTGAGGATTAGCAAGACTGTGATCTACGTAAGGTCCACAATCAGCTCAACACTACATGAAACTCATCTGAGTAACTCAGTCAATTCAGTCAATCCTCTGGTCTCTGTGAGTGTAAGGAACCTGTACTCTTAGGTACTTGCCTCCTTTGGATCTTATAATTTTATGGCCACACGTTGCCTTGGCCTTCAAAGGTTGAAAGACTCATGCAAGTCCTGAACTAATGTATATGCAAAACCTGGCATAAGGTGAATATTTGAAATAACCAAGCAGAAAATGGTAAACATTCATCTGATACAGAAGAAGCTGCTTTGTCCCTTGTGTCTGGCTGCCCATCTCAGAAATTTTTGTGTTTAGTGTGAGGAAGATAGTTTAGGTCACCAGTACCTAACAGGAATGCCACCTCACATGTGCCAAAAACAAACAAACAAACAAACAAACAA